GTCTTGGTGGGAAGGATTTTAATTCTGAATTAAATTTCTGTCAAAGTAGAGTATAATTTAAACGTTCTGTTTATGTTGTTTATTTTATGTGTATGTTGGGCTTCATAGCCTGTGGCACTCGGGAACTTGTCCTTTAATTTATCAAATGTGTTTCCATAAAGTTACTTTTTAACATTCTTTATTTTTCTTTAATGTCTATAGCATATGTAGTGATGTCTCTTTTTAAAAAATGTTTCTAATATTTTATGTATTACTTCATTTTTCTTGGTCAACCTAGATTTGTCAGTTTTATTACTTTTATTCAAATAAATAACTTGTTTTCACTTATTTTCTCTTTCATTTTTGCTCTTTAATTTTTTTTTGTATGCATTTTCCTTTTTAATTTTTTAAAAAGTGGAAGTGTATTCTATTCATACTTAACCTTTTTATTTGTAAGTATTGCTATCTATTATATTTTGATATATTTTGTTTTCAGTCTCATTCAGTTAAAAATATTTTATGATTTCATCTGTGATCCATATTCTGTTTAGAAGCCTGTTTAATATGGAACATGTCAATTAAATATAATCTAGGAAACTGTTAAACACTATTTTTGTTGACAATTAAGACAATATCAAAGAGAGGTAGAAGATAGCCTCAGGAGTGAATATACACTCTCCTATTATATGATGTGTTTTACTACATTTATAATACACTGGCATATTATAATTCTAAGAAGATAATATTTTTGAATTAGATTTTGCTAAGGTCAACCTTGAAAGACAGTGCTGGTCACAGAATACTATCATGAGAACCTTCAGTCATCTCTTAGTTCTATTTAAACTCTTCTTCCCCTTTGCTAAGTACCAAAACATTTAAGATTTCATATAAATGTATATAAACATGTTATACATATATATGCATATACATACATACATACATACATATACACATGCATACATGTGAAATACATGGAATAAATTAATAAATTAACCACACATTTGTTGAGGGCCTATTGATCAATATAAAATTGAATTATCAGTTTAATGCTAACTCTTGATGTAGACCTATTGTTGGCTTTGACTTTGGTTCACACTCTTTCATTCAATTTATTGCATGTTGTAAAAGAGGCATACATTTATAGCATAATTTAAAGAAATGTATACTTTCCATATGTCAGCAAGTTTATGTGATGAAAAGTAAAATCCCTTTTTATAAGTATTCATTGAAATCATTGCCAACAAGATCCATTCATATGGTGTGCATTTATAATAACTTATAAATCTAAGTGAGGTAATTAATTTTTTAGACTAGACCTTGATCAAAAAGGTCAACTTTAAAAGCTGATTCAAAGTAGTATCGTTGGTGCATCGAGTTATGTTTGCTTCTATTTAAGCCCATTCTCCCTGCTATTTAGCACCAAAACATGTAAGATTCCATGGACTTTAAAATATATTAAAATTTATATTATAGTTTGGTCATTTTTAGCTAATCTGCTTGAAGCTAGGAGTGTTTTCCCCTCCTCGGACACGGGGACCCTGAACCTCCAGGGCAGACAAAGTCACCTATCACACACCTGTGCGAGGACCCGCCGGCCTCACCTGTGGCCGCTGCCCTCTAACCTCAGCAGTGCTCAGCAGTGCTCAGGGACGTTTGAAAATCTAAGAGCTCCTTAAAAATCCTGGGGGATTTTTTTTTTTTTCTGGAGAAACAATGATATCAGGAAGCAGAAAGTCAACAGCGCTGGTACATTTCCTTCCTGGCGGTTGCTAAAATTACTCTGAAGCAAACACAAGTGGACTGAGGTACAGCGCCTGGGAGTCAGTGTCTTCTTCCCTCACAAGCCGTCTCCCAGGGGCAGAGAAGGCTGGCTGCCGGTGCATATGAAGGTCCACCCCGCCGAGTTCAAAACATCACTGCGCCACTCAGTGGCCCTTAGGCCAGTCCCACAATTCCTCTATCAGGACCGTGGCTTCTTCATCTGGAAAGTAGAGAGAATCACAGACTACATTATGCAGCACTGTCGTGAGGCTTAACGAACTCGTATTTGTACTTGGTAATCTACCAGAGGAGCTACAGGAGGATTAGTCAGTACCGCTTCTTCAAAAGCAGCAATTTCAGGGACGTTTGAAAATCTAAGAGCTCCTTTAAGGAGAGGATTCCTCCATTGCCAGGAGCATCACAAGCAGGTGCAAGCAAACCTGGGGTAGGCGTACCCAACCAAAATGGAAACTTGAGGGGGCCTGGATCCTGTTTGTCAAAGACCAGAAAATCAGCTTGTTGGCCTGTGGTTTGTTCTTATAAGAATCATAAATAAGGACTTTGAACATTAAATCAGAAGAGCTGTTAACTTCTTCCACGTAGACTCAGACACTCTGGAAAGCACTTACTTCGATTTATTTTAAAGACAGCGTCACAGCTGGTAAACGTCTTTGGAATGATAAATCAGATGTTGACATTTTATTCAACTATGACTTTATTATAGTTGTCCAGAGTAAAAAATGAAAAGGCTATGGTCGCTTCTGGGAGGGTTACTGTTACTTCTTTCTGCCTTTTAATTCCACTATCTAAAGGCAGTTTCAAATTCTTTCATCAATCTTGGTCTTTTTTTTGAATTCATGCAGTGGGATTTACTTGTGCATCTCTGTGAGTAATTCACAGTATCTTGCCAAGCAGCCTGTGGCAAGTGAAATGCAACTTGCTTATATTAGGCTTTTCTGTTTGAGCACGGTGTAGCCCAAACGAATTATGCTGAAATCCCAGCCTCACTGAATGGCAGGTGCTTACATATGTAATTCAGAGATGCTTTTTCCTTCAGTAATTTGGAAATCAAATTTAAGCAACATCTTTGGGAAGCAAGTATCAGGGCAAAACCAATCTTACGGCTATAAACATTTTCAATTTCACTTTATTGTCACTTATGGCATTTTATCTCCCCAACATGACTAAATGCTTTATATATCATTCAGAGTCCATCTTGTTCCAGAGCATGTGTATATTAGGTGGATCAACACTTGTACATCAGTTTTATTATGCACACGTACTCAGATTGTATTCGCGAATAAAATTCCTTTCAGTTTCAAAGAATAATATGCAACTTCTCCGGAAGCCCAGAACATCCGTGGTGGCCAAATGCTAACTGCACACTGATGTGGAAACCCTCAGCCCTGAGCAGAGGGAGCAATTCTCTGGAGCCCCTGGCAAGTGAACCTCAGCTAAGAGCAGCGCCCCCTAGTGCTCGCGAGCCGCCCCAGCGCAGCTGCACCTGGGATGAGGTGATCTTTGGCCAGACTTGGTGCTGAGGCGGCTGGTGCGGTCTGACCTCCAGCTGTCCCACCTCTGTGGTCTGGCAGGTTGGGGCTAACGGAAGCCCGGAAGTTCACCTTGCAGGAGTGAGAAGTTCTGAGAGGTCCCAAGTTGAGGCTTGGGTCACAGATCCACTTGGCCACCCTCATCTCCAGAGTCGCAGACACCCAGGCTGTCGTTAGGACTTTGTCTCCTGCACTCCTGCCCCACAATGCCCCGCATCCCGCAAGTCGGAACATTAGCATGTCGTTATGAAAACGAGTCCTGGGCTCCAATCATTGGCAACATCCCAAGGAAATTCAACAATACAATGTAATGTTGACAGGACAGGAGTGAACAATAGTTTCGAATCTTTAATATAATTTCCAACTGTGATAAAATGGAGTGTTTGTAACACATGGTTTTCACATCATTGTATCTGTTGATAGCAACAAATACACGGCTCAAATTTTTCATAAAAATGTGAAATAATTTTATGGAGAACTTTATGCATCTTTAAATCACTTATGATCTTTTTCTGCTTTATTTTTTTTTAACATACATGTCCTGTACAGAAGTGGAATGTTTATTACTAAGCCCCAGGGAGGCTAACTGTTTCTGTGACTTGACCCTTGACAGCTGGGGGCAGCTCCTTCCATTGAGGGTTTTGGGGATTCACAGGTGCTCCAGCTTCTCCAGAGTGGCCCGGGACCGGGCACCAGGCCCTCACTGCTATGTGCCACACAGCTCCCTGAGACTCAGAGAACTCAGACCCTTTCTCCAACTCTAAAATACTCCAAGAACGACATCTCCCGTGTTACTTCCGTGGCCAGGGAGCACCGTCTGCTGCGCGCTGAGAGAGGGGACTCCCATACACCTGTTCACTCTGCTGGCCAACTGCTGCGCACGAAGTAGTCGCCCCAGTGTCTTCCTCCAACACTTCTCCTAGTTAGCACCTCAGAGCCTGCCTTCTTCCACCTGCGCCAAAGGCCAAAGGGCTGGCATGGAGCGGCCACCGGCTCCCACCAGCTCCCACCCCTCTCCCGCGCCTCGCCAGTCGCCGGCCAGGACCTCCCGGGGCCACGCCGGGCGCCCAGGACGCAGCCGGCAGACTCTGGCCAGGGCCACTAACTTTCTCCGCAGGTGCCCCAAGGGGCCGCCGAGCCCCCTGGCCTGCTCCCCGGAGAGGCGGGGGCGCCCCTGGCCGTCCTCCCGCCTGCCCTGCGGCTCTGCGCCACGGGCCGCGCAGTGCTGGGACCAGCTGGTGTCCCAGCGCCGGGCGGGCAGCGGCAACACCTGCGGCCGGCCGCCGGCCGGGAACCGCTGCCGCCCGCCCCTCCCCCGCCGCGCTGGGGGTGTTTATCTCCTGCTGGGCTCCTTGCTCTTTTCTCTTTCACTTTTCTTTTCATTGTGGGTTGGGGCACTTGGGTTCAGGGTGCCCAGCTGACTCGCGGCGGTCGGAGCCCGAAGCCCGCGAAGGGAGCCCCGCGGCCGCACCGGGTCGCGCGGCCCGCCGCCCCCACGCTGCAGCCCAGACCCCATGGAGGTACTGCGCGGGCCTCGGGGCTCGGGGCGGGCGGTGCTGGGGTGAAAGGGCTGGGGAAGTTTTCCTGAGCGCCTCCGCCCCGGCCCCTCCCTGCTGGGCTGGACCCACCAGTCCCCTCCATCCGCCCCGCCCCTCCGATGGTGTTGACCGTGACTTCAGTGTTCCGTGGTGCTACGGGTTTCCCCCTTGCTGCTCCGTCACTCCTCGCGCGGGCTTTCCTCGCCAAACCTTTGTCCAGAGGCGCTCGGATTGCTAGTGCCCTGGCCGGTGCCGCGCGGGTCCACCTGCGCCCCGCAGCTGCCCGGGAGCCCCGCGCTGGCAGTGCAGCCCGGGCGCGCAGGAGGCATCGCTGGGCGCTGCCAGGCTGACTCCGCGCCTGGCAGGCTGCAGGCGAGGCGCGCGGGCTGCCAGCACCCAACTGCCTGTTCCGGGGAAGACGCCGTCGGGGCCGCCCGGCGCGGAGTCCTGCAGTTAATCCAGCTCAGGAGGTTCAAGAAAGGTACCGCAGCTCTTCGCTTCTTTTACTCCCTGCTGGCCGGCGCGAAGTAGTGCGTGTGAGCTCTGCATCTGCCTCTATCTTTGCAAAATCAGATTGTCCCTTTCTCTGAGCCGGACACCTGTCTTCCTCCGGAGAGGGGTTGGCAGGAAAGGTAGAGACTTGGGTCTCCAAGATTAGCTACAACTCTGGACAAGTCCACTTCTCTTGTAGAAAAACCACCTTAGAAACTGGAAAGAGATTCAGGAGTCTTGTAGGAACAATAATAACCTGCCTGCAGGTGACTTTACATGGCAATCCAGTTAATTCTTCGAGTGTTGAGACTACATTTTGCAAAAAGTACCTGATGATAACCTTTGAATGTCACAACTAGAATTCTGTAATTCCATGCATTGAAGATTTTATTAAATTTCAAAATATGAGGAAAGCAAGGTTATTCTGAAATCATGCTCACAACAGATCCTTGAAAAGTTTCGAAACTGGAAGAAAAGTGATTTCTACTGGCTGCGTTCCATTATATTTTTAATGCTACTTTCTAATGTGATGACACTGGAAATGGCATTGTCCGGACCTCCAGTGCTAGGTGTTTGTTTAAGGAGGCTCTTTGACTTAACTGAATAGACCAATAAGATATGCACAGTTGGGTCGACCTGCTGTCCATAGGCTGCACAGCAAACTACTGAAAACATCCATTACTCAAACGTTTTCAAACTCCTGTGGTTTTATTAACCAGCAGTGTGGTGGGTGTGGTAGTGGAACAGAGGTTCAAAGAACAGAAAAGGAAGGGACTGCACTCACAGTAGTAGCTAGTGGGGCTTACAAAGGAGGGACTATGCTTATGTGTTGCATGCAGGTAAATGCAGAAAGCACTGGAGGCTTCTGATGGTGTGTCAATGGCTTGTCTGTTTTCTTCCTTCTGTGTTTTCCTTGTAAAGCTCAGTCACACTCAGGGTGGTCTTCCGCCACCTTCCGAAAGTCTTCAGGCAGCCTTCCATCCTTTTGTATCATTGCTCTCTGCTGATTTGGGGAAGGGCCTCAGACCTGGTTTAAATGAGCTGTCACACTGGTTGGGATTTCCTTGTGCGCTAGTGGATGGTTTAAGAGAGACATTTGAAGCTTTTTCTTTAACCCGTGAAATTTAGAAACATCAGCAACCAGGTGGCAAGACAGGAGGTTTGTCATGGAAAACTTGATATGGAAACTTTCTTGGAGGATTGGGGGAAATCCTGGAACTAGATTTTGGAACTAAATTTTGATAATTGAAGGATTTGAGTCCCTTGAAGTTTCTCCATCTCAGGTTTGCTGGTTCTGGGGAATGTCAGTGAGACCATGAACAAAGGCCAGAAATGAAAACTTTAAGTGATAGATTTTTTTTTTTGGTCTGAGAATAAATATCCATAAGACTAATCAGCTTTTTACATGCATCTTGAACCCAGACAGTTTGAATATTATTAATGATATAAATGACTTCTGAAAACTTGGAATGCTTCCTTGTCTCCCCCTGACGCTCAGAGTTTACTGTTAAGTGCTGTTTGTTATGTAACTGTTCTTCTGAGGCTAGTGATGAATTCTGTCTCTATAACAGTTTATAATAGTATAGCTGACATCTATTGAGTTCTAATTCTATACTGCATACTGTTCCATGCACATATGCTTTTTTAAAGTTCATCCAAATAGACTTGTGTGGTGATAGAACACTAAATGGTCTAACTCAGGGCCTGGCAGCCTGGGGTAATTAACTTTTCCAAAGTTAGAGAGCTAGAACGAGGTAGAACTGGGATTCCAACCACACAGATGTGAGATCATGTTTCTGAAGGATGCTGCCCCCATGGAAATACTTCCCAAAGTTGACAGTCACATCAGCCACTATTTCATTTTTGACGTGCATTGTAATGATAGAATGCTAGTTTAAAGCAACACTTCTGTAACTTGCATACAGTTGACATTATTAATGATATATTTAATGATTATCTTTGATTGGATAATACTCACATGGGTGTCTACATGTCTTTGGTTCACTGGAGAAATTTCTTTCATGGTTCCTGGATGAAAACCTGGTTTTCATTTGCACTATTTTTGGTGGCTCAAGCCGGGCAGATAGCAAATGTGGACTGACGTGTCGTGTCTCCTAGTTTTCTGCTCACCAGTGCAAGTGGAAAGCTGTGATTCATGGTGAGATCACAGGAGAAGCCTTTTCTATTACAGCACAACCTAGGTGCTTTAGCCAGCTACTGGGAAGTCCCTTTTTTGGAAGGCTTTATGGTGTGGGGTTGGCAAGAGGTCAACTTTGTTCTTTAGCTCGATATTAGCTCATATAGCAAGTTGCAGATTACTGTGTAAGTTTATCGGGACTGAATAAACATGAAATGCTTGCTGCTATCCTGTCTGATGGATGTGTGCAGAAGTTCATCGGGAAATAGTGAGGGCATTTCCAGTCCTGGAATGTGTTCACAGCTAAGTCTTTAACAGTGAACTTTACTAATTAACGATAAACACATGTGTATATGCCCATATGTGTGTGTGTGTGTAGAGAGTATGTTTTATATCAAAGAATTTTAGCTGCTTTTAATAAAGTTTTGCAAGGGTAGAATCAGAAATGGAAAACGAGGTGAGGCCACATTCTTTCCCAGGGTCTTCTCCCACTCATTGTCTAATAGTGTCTTGTCGTGAGTCTGGAGAGCACAGAGGACCCCACGCTGGCCATGAGTCTGAATGCCAGTTAGCTGATCACATTCTAACATTCCATAGTTGTTTCTCCTTCAAATGCTGAGTTTCCTCCAAGAGCTGACAGGCTGCCGCAAAATCAGGAGAGTGACAAAGTAATTTTTCAAATAGAGGAACTGAAACTGAGAGTAAAGAGGAAAACACCAGGGTTGAGGTCGGTGGAGAAAGAGCTGCTTACCCCGGTGACCTCCTGGTCCCACTTGCCCAATGAATCCTCCTGGGGCAATTGCTCATCTGTCTTCTCACAGGATTCGGAAACAACCTTCCTGTTCACTGCCAGCGCTGACTTCTAAAAGTTTCAGTAATTAGTTTTAGTGGAACATCTTATAGTTAAAATTGTTGTGATGTATGTTTCTAACTTCTTGACTCTCCTTAGTCCTTAGCAATAAAGATACGTATGCAAATTGAAATGTTGAAATAAGCCATTTTATTGTTCAAATCATTCTTTGTTATCTTCAGCATTACTGGTCCACAGTTAACCAAAGTCATCCAATTATTTATGATAATTGATTTTCTAAAGATTTTATTTTTTTGTGTGTACAGAACTGGGGTAAAGGCCAGAGGCTCAGGGGCAGTGAGAGGATTCACCAGAGACAGAGTGGGGAGCAGAACAGGCAGATCGACAAAGTCCACTGCTGAGGGGAGCAGCAGACGAGTCAGGAGAGGTCTGCTGCTGCGCCATGTGGGTCACCTCCAAGGCGGGGATCAAACTCAATTTGAAGCAGCTGTGGACAGCTTGCAGCACTGCACTTTAACCTACTACATCACTAGGGAGGGCCCGAATTAACTTTTGAAAATGCATAGGGTTCAATTAAATAAGGTCAGTGTTTGTGTCAAAGTTTTGATTGCAGAAGATTCCTCTAACACCATGGCTTTCAAATCCCCCTGCACTTGACACCCTCTGCAGGGCACCTGTTGAGACTGAACGTGAAGGGGGAGGCCAGGTCTTTGTCAAGACGGGATATGGGTGGTGATGAACGAGGAAGTGGGAACATAGAAATTGCTAGAAACCAGCTCATCCTGGCACATTGCTTATAAAGCGGGGTTGCTATGTAAGCCGCGGCCCTGGAAGCCTGCATTTACAACTCTACACACACAACAAACTTGGAAAGTCGTGGGGGTGTGAACATCTTTGCTCGACTTCAACCTTATCTTCTATCACTGACTCTTGGTTTTCTGAATTACTGTGGCTCATTGGACTTAAAACAAAGTGGGGTGAGGTGACTGGCTGCAGGGGCTTCCCCAGAGAGTGCTCCAGCGGTGTGGATGCCTCTGCAGCCTCATCTGCTCTGCCCGCCACAGCTCCGGTCACATTCCCATGCTCTGAATGCACGTGTGAGCCTCCCCAGGGGCACCTTTGCCACTCCCTGGCCACCTCCCTGCGTCCTGCTCGGAACGCCACCCTCTCTGACGTGTGCTGCCCCCTTCTGCCCTGGCAGAAGGATCTCCCTCGTATGCATTCATGTAGTGCTGTCACTGCATTTCCTTCTGATAGTGTTTATCTCTGTAAATTCACCTTGGTAGGTGTCGTCTCTACGCTGATGTTTAAAATAAAGAGGGGGCCATGTGTCCCTAAGTCCCACCGAGCCTTGGTCACACCATCGGTGGGTTCTGACAGGTCACTCAAAGTTTGACGGCCAAGCAGAGGAATGTAAAACAGGTAAGAAGCATACCTGATACAGCAGAATAGTGTTAGGGTTCTAGAACATTCCATAATGTAGTTGTTTATGACCTAGTATGTTGTGAGAGATTATAGTAATCTTAGAGTGTTTTCTGACACTTAGTCTTGGCTGGGATTTACTGATGAAACACAAAGTAGAGAGAAGGAAGCCAGCTAGAAACCTACTGCCCTGGTCCCTGATCTCCTTCCCTGCCTGTTCCTGGTTTCAGGCCGGCGGCGGGTCTTCACTTCCCCACTCCAGGGGCTTAGCATTGCCTGCTGTCAGGTCTTCCTTTCTTAGGAACGCTGTCGGTCAGCCGTGCTTTTCCCATTTCCTCTTTTCTCCTTCTCTCTTGAGCCAGTCCGGGTGTCAGCCCCACTGTTCCTCTCAAAGTCCACGTGTCAGAGGCAACGGGGACCAGAGGCCCGGCCCCGCGCCCGCTCCCTGGTCTCTTCGGCAGTGGGCGGCAGGGGCTTTCCCCAGGGCTGTGCGGCTGCGCCGGCCCCTTGCTCCTTGTCCTCCCCAGCGCCGGATTCCGTGGCTGTCCTGCTTCCTCACCTCCCTCACCTGTGGACAGGGAGGAGGCTGAAGACGCGTCGGCAGGCCTCGGCTGCCAGT